TATATATATATATGTATATATATATACATATGTATATATATATACATATGTATATATATATACATATGTATATATATATACATATGTATATATATATACATATACATGTATATATATATATACATATACATGTATATATATATATATATATATACATGTATATATATATATATACATATACATGTATATATATATATATATACATATACATGTATATATATATATATATATATATACACATGTACATATATATATAATTGATATGATATGGTATTTCACATGTGAAGTTTTCATTGATAAAAAAAAAAATAATCATATCATTGGTTAATCTGGTAAGTCCGGTTTAAAATGACTATAAATCTTGATTGCATCGGTTGTGGTTTGGCAGAGGCTTTTTGAGAAACTTAAATTGCTCACTTGGCCTACAATTTTTCTGAAGAAGTTTTGCATCCAACAAAGCCAACCAATGAGACCATCAAATCAGAATCATTAACGCGTAGATCATGATGGTTCTATCACGGCACGCCATGTTCTTCATGTGTTCTTCAAGCGTCTTTGAAGTCGTCAAAACAAACGTATCGAACTAATTGGAACTAAAAAACCAAATAAATTCCAACTTTCCGATTCGTTTTCTTGAAACATCGGGTTTCACACCTCCATGCGACACACCTCCTACTGACCCAAAATGATGCGCAAGTCTCCCGAGCCTTAATCATGCTTTAACAATCGCAATTTGCTGCAGTCTGGTTAGATTAGTCCTTGGAATCATCATCACACGCCGTCCATTTTATCTTTCCTTCCCCTCATCCGGACGGTTCGATCGGCCGATCCTTTCCGTATCAAACGGCTGCGATCGGCTGACACCTATTCTCAAGGAGCGGATTTGAGAGGCACGCAACAATCCGGATTTGATAGCCCCCCTTCGCTTCCGTTTTTATATTTTCCCCATAGTTTTATTTTCGGATTTCTCTCGTTGCGGAAGTGGGAAAGAATCGACAGAAGGCAGCGAGAAGAGAACACAAGAGAAGAAAAATAGTTCTCGAGAACAATCGGGTTTCGGTGGATCGATCTCGTCGTCTGTTGAAAGGTTGATGATCTTTTATTCGTAGCTTGATTGATGGCTAGTTTGTGAGATGAGATCATCTTTCATTCATCGATTTGTTTTGCGGTCCGTAAATCAATTGCTTTCTCATTTTATGATCTTTGATTCGTATTGGCTTCTTGATGATTTTTTTAAGGTTCATCAATGTAGGTCTGGATATATATTTTTTTATTTATTTAAAATGGTTATAGTGGTTTTTTCAAACTTGGACTCAATTGAGGTTTGATCATTCAATGGATTCGAAGAAATTCGCGGTTCGGAACTCGTGGATGTGGCTTGAGTCCATGCCAGTTTTTGGTTTAGCAAAAGGTTGAGGTAATTGTTTGTGGAAGCGCGTCATCTTTCACGGTGTTTAGTATCTAATCAATCAAATTTTTCGTTATCCTTCTTTCCTCTGTTTTTAGCCATTACATCAGTTCTTCCTTATATTGTTTTGTGTGATTTTGTCTATGTTTCGTGTGGCTTGGTTAAGGAGTTAAATACGTTCTTTTCTCAGTCATCGGATTATATTTGCTTCGTATTAATTATTTTTTTTCAATGTTTTGTTTGGTAGGGTTTCGAAAAAGAGGGGCTGCCATGAGATTCAAGAAGGGGAACAAGGTGGAGGTTTGGAGCCCGAGGGAGGTTCCGTCAGGCTCATGGCGGAGTGCCGAGATCATCTCGGGCAATGGGCATTACTATACTGTGAGATATGATGGGTATCCGATGGACGGCAGTGTGGCAGTCGACAGAGTGCCAAGGAAAGCCATCAGACCCTGCCCTCCACCTGCCGGAACCCTGAAGGATTCAATATCTGGTGATGTTGTTGAAGTTTTTGACAACAATTCATGGAAGCTCGCTGAGATATTGGTAGTTGTTGATAAGAAATACTGTTCTGTCAGGCTCCTTGGGTCCTCCAGGGAGATCAGAGCCCACAAATCTCTCTTAAGGAGACGGCTGTCTTGGCAAGACAACAAGTGGGTGATGATTCATAAGGTAACATCATATGTGTTTATTCTCGATTAAATTGCACCTAACTCCATGTGCATGATGATTGCTTTATTAACATCTTTATATTATTTTTTGAATAAATTTCACATGCACAATTTTTGCCAAGTTAACTTGGTGTAGTTGTTCTTCTGTTGTAGTCTAAGTCTTTTTAGTTGCTTTAACCTTCACAAATCTTTTTGTTCCATAGCTATTTTGGTACTCAATGCTATGAGTATTTACATTTGCATGTTGTTCATCTTAATGATACTTGTTATTTCCATTAGGATTCTGGAGTACAAAATGGTGCAATGCTAAGCAGTCTGTCAAGAGGAGGAAAGTCCAGTTACCACTTGCCTCAGTCATGTGTGGAGATAGATAATTCTGCTGGAAAGAGCCTTTTTCCTATTGAAAATTATGATTTTCCTGAGAAAGCTAGACGATTCCTCTCAAGAGAAACAAAGAAAAGGCCATTTGATATATATATTCCTGCTGAGAAGTGCAATGATGTTAGAAGAAAGACAAGGGCAACCGAAAAAAATGGGATGGATCAAAGAATATCTACCGAGCACCCAATACATTGTCTGGAAAAGGTAGATGGTGTTGCTTCCAAAGGAAGAGTGATGGGTGAAAAATGCATGCATACTTGCTTAAACAACAGAACAACTGTTTCCTCTAAAATTGAGTCAGGAAGGGGAAGACCAAGTTCAGATAAGCAAAAATGTCTTGTAAGGAGTGCAGAATCTAATGATGCTGAAAGTACTTCATCCTCTGTTGGTAGTTGTAGTGTCGGCAGCAGTCCATGTAGGTTACCTTGGCACCATGAAACCTATCCTTCCAAAGAATTGTATAACCATTATGATCATGCTGAAACTTCTTGTGGTGTGGAAAGAGAATTATCTCTTTCTAAAAAGGATGAGTTACAAGCAGAAATTCATCAGCTAGAGTTGAACGCATATCGGTCCAGTCTGATAGCTTTACATGCTTTGGGCCCTATAAGTTGGGAACGGGAAGCATTGATGACAAATTTGCGTCTTATGCTAAACATATCAAATGATGAACACTTAATGGAGCTAAGGAATTTGATGCATTCTGAAATGACCACCACAACGTCATAGTTGACCAGAGGATATGCTTAGATCTTGCACATGTGGAGTTACCAGTTAGCCACAGGATTGTTTCAATCATTTGTTTCTTATGTAAGATGAGAATCAAATTGTAGCTGCATACTGAATATTCAAGTCACTCTTTAAAGGTCACTTTGTGTAGCAAATCTTTTTGTATACAAATATTTAGCTATATGGAATATCTTTTAGTAAATCTTTTTCAATCTGAACTTGGTTATCACTTTGTAACTCATTGCAGTCTCATTTTGGAGCAACCCTATTAAAACATATATCTATATCTATACATGTCAGAGTAGATATTGGTATACCTATTAAAACAGTCTGGTGAAGGAATTTCTTCGTTAATGTGAATTCATGTCCTAGAAAAAATCTGTTTCGCTCCTTGGATGTGAATTTACTCTCACGCTTTCCGCCCATAAATTTAAGATGGATAGTCAACTGTGTTGCTTCAATACACCATAATTATGCTGAAATTGGTTAACACACTTGAAGCTTGCGGTCTATGTAGAAGCCAAAATGTCCTTACAGTAATATTGGCAGGCTCATTGTATAAAAAAAGAAGATTCTGATAATGTAATGATTAATTTTGTGGCATGTGGATACTTTTGTAGATCCTTGATGAGCATATACATATGTATACTTCAATTTTTGGTTCTCTTGGGTACCATCTGATTGATGCATTTTTGGCTTGAAAAATGTTTCTATGTTGTTTGTCTTGAATGTTATACTGGATGGGCATTTTTGGTCTTCACTTAATGGATATGAATCTCCCATGGTTGATAATTAGTGATACCTTTAGGTGCTTTCGTTGATATTGGCTATCATAAGTGTGTGAAGCTGTGTACTCTGTGTTGCACTAATATTAATGCAGATCCATTTGGTTAACTCCAGTGAAATGTTTCATTCTGTGGACATTATTGACACTTATTGTGCCTCTTCCAGGGTCAAAGTTGGAGGCTTCTAAGCTTTGCTTCCTTATGTCTCTGATGATGGAGTTGTCATGGCTTTTACACTTCAAACAGTGTGGCAAAACTTCCATCTTATTCCTATGAATATGTCAGTATATTTGATTATTGGTACTTTTATTTCTGTTATATCTTCCTATTTCAGGCTTATTTTCTGCCTGTAATACATGCATGATGCAAGGAAGTTAACCAGAAATATATTAAGAAAATCTTTACAAGTGAAACTGTTAATTGTGTGCGTAATGCCTGTTATTAGTAAACATATGTATGTTCCATGGCGTGCTTATAATTGTGGTGTACTTGTTGCTGTAATATGGATTACAAGCAAAATGTAGTCTATAAAAATATATCCTTGCTGCTTATTTTACACTGGAGACTAAGCTATGAACATGACACGACAGTTCATGCGAAACTTGTTTGACATGGAATTCCAAAAATGTAAAATTAAGAATGAGGTATCAGTTATGTTCGTATAGCGTCTGTGTATTAATTTCAACTGTTTGTTTTTTAGGTAATGCAAATCATAGGTAGAATCATCAATATGCAATTCGTGTTTGGGTAAAGTCACAGTATGATATTTGAATTAGCCACTGCTGGCATATTCTCAAATATTTTGTATCATCTTTGCAAGATTAGCATTTTGACATGAACTAACTCGTGATGAGAAATGAGCAATGTCTAATCCTTAGTGAGAGCTGAATTATTAGTCTAGACTCAGTGAATTAGATTTATTTACTTGAATCTTATTTCTTTAGTTTCCATTTCTCTTGGAATAGCTTTTACTCGTGGACATCATATAATCATTGAAGTTTCTTGTTTCCCATAGTGTGTGTATGTGGCATGAGGCCATCTTCATCCCCTAAAATGAGTTTGGAGTACTTGGATTGGGTCCAGGATAACCATCGCTGTTTTGACATGTTTTCCTCTTCCCATTATCCTATTTATTATCTTTTCACCTTTGCATAATAAGCCTTAAAGCTCTGGAAACCTATAATACAGCCTTTTGTCTTGTTGCTATAATATCTTTAACCTAGTCTTCCACTTACATTTACCAACCAACAAGCATTATATGCTTAATAGCCTCCACAGTAGTGTTGTTATCCAACACTTCACGCTTGCCCTTAAACAATCAAACAAGGCCTAAATTGTTGAACATTAGGTGACACTGGTATGATAAAGTTTTCAAGCAGAGCAACCTCATCAATCAACTAGGGCTTTTGGAGAAGTGTTGCATCAGTGATATTTCTCTATTCACAAGCTCTAGAAATCTTCTGAACATTGCTTTACTTATATTTCCATTGCTGAAATTATTTTTATATATACAGATGGATACGTGTCTTGTCTTGCATAGGGTGATTGCACAAACTGGTTATGTGAAACTGTCCTGTATCCGGCAAAAGAAAAGGTCAACGTTCTTAATTATTTTAATACTAACCAGAATTTCATTTTCTTAATTATTTTAATACAAACCAGAATTTCATTTCAAGTCAGCCGTTTAATTGTGTATGCATTATTTTAATTTATGAATATTATATATTTTCATAATCTGCATTTTACTACCTTGATTTTACTTTTCTCTAAACAATTGGTTACATATGGTTGAAGAGTAACATGAACAGATAGGTGGTGAGCTTCCAACAAGTCTGCTTCTGGGAAAAACAGTCATGAATTTTGTAATGGATTAAGTCTTATCAAATAATATTTTTCTTCAAATGACATGCAAGTTCTTTCCACCTCTGCATTCTTGCAATAGTTAGCATAAAGGAAATTCAATAGTTATTATTTTCAGCAGTTTATATGTTGAAACACTATTTTCTGAATTAATTCTGGAACTATTGTTTGCTTATTCTAATTATTATTTTTTTGAGGCCTCTTTGTTAACTAGGTATCATAGACTTTGTTGCTTCAATTAGGGAAGATATCATAAAATGAGTTAGCCACAAACCTGGAGCATGATGGTGATTGTTGGAATCATGCATTTGCTGCTGGGTTGATCATGCATTTGTTGCTGGGTTGATCAACTGTTGTAGGTATGGACTGTCGACCTAGATTAGGAACCAAATCATGAGTAATTTATAAATAATGCATCACGGAGTATATACATACACCAAAATGAAGATGACTGATCTCCACTAGACAAGTTGTTCTTGTAGCTACCTTAGTGGTATAACCCATTCTTACAGATCCTGATTTAAATGTTTTTCATGCTGACTTTTGTTAACTTGATTTGCTGTAACCAATAGTAACTAGTTAACAATGTCTGCAGTTACTCAGAGAATGCTCTTATGACCATTTCCATTGCAGAGCCTGATATAATTGTGCACATATAATGCTAAAGTCTTTCATTATGGTCTGATAACAAGGCAGTATTTTATGTTAACATATAGTAACTTGCAAGATTAAGGATCATCTGCAGGTGCTCAGAACGCTGGGAGTACGCTCTAATGCCTGAAGTTTGAAGGAATCTGATTTGATTTTTGACATATGACATAAAGGTGAATTTTTTTTATCCTTTTTTCTCTTCGGTGATATTGTGCAGAGAGTATAAAAACTGTGTAGCGCATTAAACTTACCATGTATTCAATTGGCTACTGTTGCAGATGTCATAGCAAGCACGAGGTGAACTAGTGTTGCGATCATGGAAAATTGTAATCTGCAGACCAAAAAATCTCGACATGCTAGTTGCTGGAGCAAATATGTTTGGAGTTGCACTAGCACTTGATGGCTTCGTCTACTTGCCAATATCAAATAATATGGTTTATGATCAAATCTGAGTAGTCCTAGTTATAAAAGCTCTAGATGTGAAGTATTATTGAGTTCCTGTAGAAACCTGTTTGTATCCATGGGAAGTGTGCATACATCTATTTCATCCTTTTGTAGTAGACTTGAACTCTGTGGTCGATCTAAATCTGTGAGCTTCCATGGATGTGCAATTGTAAAGGACTTCTCGGGCATGGGAACTGCATCTCAAAATGATGAATAGTAGCTATCTAAATTTGTACTGTTTCTAGGTCACTGCAGTGTTCTATGTTCTGATTCCAGGAATTCCAATATGATTCAGGACAGTGATGTGTTGTGGCTTTATATCATTTTATTGTGTTGGCCATGGTAGTGAAGTCAAACGTGGGGGTGAACAATTACAAGCTTCATACCTAATTGAATGCAATGATCAGTGAGATCATTTGTATGATTGCTTGTCCTTATTGTTTGCATTATTGCTCGTATGATGAGAGGGATTGCCTCATATGTTGCATTCATAATTTGTGTTCATTATTGCTTGACTGCTATATCATGGAATTCGAGATGGTTGATTGTGACGGAGGAAGATGATTATTTTGCTTAATTGTTCCAGTAGTATTTTCTCCAATGTTACTGATAGGGCACTGAAAGCATACGAGGGAACATAAAAAATCTAATTGCGTAATATTATATGTGATTCATCTCAAATAATTTAGCATAGCACACAAAATAATTGTGATATTGCGCTCATGGCGACTCCGCCACCGAATGAGACCCGCAAAGCGGTGGTGGCGGCGCCTCAAGCGCCAACGAGGAGTTGCCTATAGAGCCAAGCGACGTCCGCCGACGCTCACGCGTGCTTCGGGTAGCGGACGCTAACCAGCGCGACGTCGTCGAGCACGGGACCGCAGAGCGAGCTGAGGTCGTCGCTCCGGGTGTTGTAGTAGGAGCTCCAGAAGACGACGCGCGTGCGCGCGGTGGTGGCCGTGAACTGGAGCACCGCGCGCTTGGACCCGCCCCGCCCCTTCGACTCGTAGGGCACCTTGATGGTGTGCTCGCCCGCGAAGGCCTCGACGAGCAGCGACCCCTCGCAGGCGTTGCTAGCGTCGCCCACCGCGAAGGAGAGGGCGTACCGGCGGCCGGGGACGGTGCGGACGACCTGCGCGATGGCGGACTCCTTGCCCGCGAGGAGCTCCACGGCGCGGCGGCCGCGCGGAACGGAGAAGTGCTCGGCGTCCAGGTACTTGACGGCCTTGAGGGACTCCACCATCCACCCGGGGAGGGGGGAGTGGTCGTCCTCGATCTGGGGAGGGATGAGGACGCCCCAGGTGGTGTTGGGGAGGATGTATGGCCCTTCCTCGAAGTCTCCGTTCTTCAAAAGGTTCGCTGTTGTTCGTGGATCAAGCGTGAGATTAGATCGAACAGGAGGAGCGAGCGTGCATGTTGGTAGGTGACGAGCTTACTGTTGGTCCTCCGAGGAGGGAAGAGCTGCTTGATGGCGACGGAATCGATGAGAGGGCCACAGGCGGGGTCCTCGGAGACGCCGGTGTTGTGGATCACCACCTCCACCTCGTCGGACTTGGCCAGCCACGCCCAGGCGTAGGAATCCCACCCGTTGCTGCTGTACATGGTCTGCATGGGGAGCACGCCCGACTCGGGCGACGCCGAGACGTTGAGCCGCTCCTCCTGCGCGCACGTCCGCGCGGCGCTGAACGTCAGCGAGTAGCGCACGCCTTTGGTGACCTTCACACTCTGCTTGATGGAGGCGTCGTTGCCAAGGCGGACGGCGTAGGAGCCCTCGGGCACGACCAGCAGCATGTCCCCTTGCTTCTGCCCCCATTGGATGTACTCCACGAAGCCCGTGATCTGCCACCGGGGGATGGCGTCGCGGCCCGCCACCTTCGTGCCCTTAAGCTGCCACGGCTTCGGCCCCTGCTCAAAGTTCCCATTCGGCAGCAAGCCTGCACAAGGTATACATCACACCAAGAAGTCAATTGCTGGCAGCACATGCTGCTTCAAGCATTCTAACCAAGCGCAGCAGGGTGTTCTGTTGTTAGATTGCAGAGAACTTGAGGATCTGGATTTAGCATAGTGTTCTACCAAATTGCATGATCTGAAGACTAAAAATACATGACCTGCTGCTTTGATTCCATCCTGAACTCTAACCACTGCCAAACTTTGGAAGGAATTAACAGAGGAAGTCTCGTCATTTACATTCTAACAATGCGGATACAAATCTGTGGAGATCTCTTCCACCTCCAGAGAAATCTTCTATCTGAGAAACAAGCTAGAATGGGGCAAATAAAGAGTCTGTGCATCTCACCATCCGTGAAGGCAGCCGCCAGTTGACAAGCAACACAGAGAAGCAAGAATGAAGGAAGCAAACGCAGCATTTTTGGTGGCCCGACGAAGCAGAGAGTGCGAAGGGAGGAGGAAGGAAAGAGATCACTGAACGAAGCAAATCTACAGAGTGGGTCGACTTAAATGGCTGTCCATCCAACACAAGAGACTTGGATTTGTCTATAATATACCAAATGCCATTATAAAGATCATAGAATCTTTAATTACTGATCCCTATATGCCCACATACAGAGTAAATGTGCTCACCAACACAACCCAATATTTGTTAATGAGTTGCCATCACTAAATTAGAGTGTCTTTCTTCTTCACTTCAGCTCAACATGTAATGTTACAACAACAACAACAAAAAAGAACATATTTTGAGGTGGTTTTTTGTGTATGCTAACCATTTCATAGCCTCTATTTTCTCCAGAAAAGGTCTTCACTCTCTTGCTCCAGGAAAGCCTTGTTGTATATACTCGAAACAGAGCTGTGTGTTACTGACATTCTAGTATTTTGATCCTGTTAATTCTTACAAGATGTTGCTGGTGGATGTGTAGAAAGAACACTGTAGTAATCACATGACTCGGCACTAAATAATACAGGATAAGGTGGACCTAGAAAAGACCTCCCCTGGTATCAATCAAGCAAACATTGGCATTGACACATCTTGGTATTCTAATGGTGGTGTATAAAAGCAGCATTTTGGGACTGAGGAAATCTTCGGCAGCTCGCATTAATGGCTCAGCTTATTCTCGTGATTTTATATGATACAAGGACAGCAGAGGTCTCCCCTCCCCATTCATGGCCCAGAGTTAACTGGGGATTCATGTGCTCTTCCCTGAGGTTTCATGTGCTGACTCCATTTATATGGAACTAAAAAGAGAAAAAGAAGAGAAATTCCATGCCTTGATTGCTGCTGTTTCAGTATTCCTTTGCCTAGAATTATTAGCAGTGTAGTTTGGCAGGATGAGGTGCAACTTAGATCAGCAGGAAGTTCTTGGGCAAACTGAGACTTTTAGGCTCATGGATTCGGCCAAAGATGTGTCACTTCAGCCAGCAAACCTTAGATCTTGTCGACTGTGATGTAGTGTTTGTGGTGGCAGTGGTCAATGGAGTGCTGCAGGATCATTCAATGATAGATTCCACCTTTTAGATCACTCTCGGATGAAAGTATTTTGGGTAAATGATAACCGTTTCAAGAACATAGAAAATGGTCCTCCTTCCTTTTCATCTCAGCTTTCACTTCCTACTGGCTCACATTCATGGCTCTCGCGGCACCAATTAATGACGCTTTCATTCCGCACCAAACACTGAGCTTCACCATCAGAAACATCATGATGGAAGCATCGCTCGTGCTCTAATGGAAACGAGGCGATCAGGCTTAGCAGCTGAACTCAACTCAGAAGGGAAACAAGGCAAAGTTTCCGGGGAACACGATGGATGACAGTCACGAGGGAGAAGAAAGGAGGGACCTCCTCTGACGAGGTCTTATCTTCCTGCTGGCTAACTTCTCCTCTTCCAAGGCTCAGCCGAAGGTACCTAAACCCACCCATGTCTTCCCCCATCTCTCTCTCCCTCTGATTAAGGGGAACGTGGCTCCCCATGTGCCCTTCTGCAAGGCCACGCAGAACCCTAAGCTTTGGGACCATCGTTGCTTTGTTTATCCTCTCCTTACACCTCTCACTGAGCTGGGTTGACCGCTTGGTCTTTCCTGTAACTTGTCATCTTCTTCTTCTCCTTCTATATTGCTGGTGCAATGAACCGGTGGATACTGCCGCAACCAGTTACAGAGAACAGATGCCTCAGATAAGATCTTGAGGCAAACATGAGCTAACCAGTTCCTTTCTCGAAAGCAAACCCTTCATGTGAGATCACATGGAGGGGGTGCCTAACATATACATGAACCTGCAACCAGGCCTCAGAGGTTGGCTTGTAAACCATTTCCTCTCCCCCATGGAATGGTTTGGCTTACTTGATAGATTCAGGGAAATGCTCAGTCGCACATGATGGGTCAGCACACAGCCCCATCGGTACTCGGAGAAGAGACATGCAGCAGTGGGTGGCACATGTTCTCGGTGTTGGCATGGATGATGCATCACCAACCCGACAACAAATACAAACATAATACAACTCGTTATACTGACACAGGCACGTACGCCAAAAGATTTTAAGGGGAAAGGAAAGAGAAATCCCACATGGTTCTCGGATGAGCGTGCTGCAGAATCATCACGCAAACATCAGTGTTGAGAATAAAGATCATGTGAGATACATGCATTATAGAGAAGTGCATGATTGGAGTAACATACAAGACATGAATGGGCATCGGTATCGATCGATGAAACTGGTCTCAAATTCTTCGTCCCATCATCCAATTATTTTGGAAACCGCTTGCTTGAAGCCAAGAACTGACACTGTTGTGACAGGTCAGACTTCATGGCTTCGGTGTTTAGCTCCCCGCGAGCTCGACAGCCTTGTAAGAGAAGAAACTTAGAAGAAGAAGAAGAAGAAGAAGAAGAAGAAGAAGAAGAAGCAGAAACTTAAAATGAAGGAGAAACTTATAGTTCTATGCGATCAATGCCCAACATTATAAAAGGAACGTCGAAGCAAAAAGGAGAAGATGCAATTCTTCTTTTTTCAATCTAAATCTACAGAAGCAAATAAAAATTTTAATTTTCTTTTATCTCTTTGATTTAGATAATCAACCTTTAAATTATAAAAATAATCTCTCATGGATTAAATCATATTATATATATATATATATATATATATATATATATATATATATATATGGGTGACTTCTCTAGAAATTACCATCATTTTGAGTATTTTTCAATCGGTATGCCCTCTTTTACCATTTTTATTCAAACAATACTCTTAATTAAAAAAAAATCCCAAAATGCCCCTCAAAATTTTTCGTCAAACTTTTTATCCTCTTTTTTAACAGTTTTAGACTGTTATAATACTTATAAATTTTTTTATTAAGGTACTGAAAAATAAATATTATAAGTGATATCATATTGTGTATCTTTGATTGTCATTGACCGTAGATTATTATGATGTCATATTTTTAGGTTTGTAATTGGTTTGGTTGACGTTAAAGGTCCATTTGGATCATTTATAATATTTTCAACTAAGTTTTATCGATCAATTTTTTATTTTTATTTTTGTGATGTCGTTGCTAAACTATTACATATACCTATTTAAATCACAATATAGTTTGGTATATTAAATAATTTTTAATATGTTTTGAATTTATTAGACTCATTTAGTATACTATATAGTATTTTTATTGTAATTTATTGTGGTGACCAAAACACTAGGCTAGAAATACTATAACAAGTGAAAAATAATTAAAAATATAATTTATATATTTTTCAAATTAGGAGAGAAAAAAATAAAATGAGAATATAAATTAAGAAATATCTTAAATATAAGTATTTTATAGGGAAATAGATATATGGTGGCAAATACCTTATTATATAATTTAGGAAATGGTTTCCACTTGACCCAAAGTGTCATTAAATACAAGAGATGGGTCATTAGACTACTTGCGTTGTAGCACTATGGATAGGGAGTAGCTTTGGATCTGTCACTGTTGGAAGGGTCATTTCTAATCACTATCACAAGGTGATCATTAAGAAGACGAAAAGGGCATACTGTAGGTCTTCGGCACGCCACACTTTCAGAGCTTTCCCGCTCGCTTTCTGACGACACTGTCCTTTACCTGAGGACGGTGACACAGTAATGAATGTACAGGCATTCAAATAGTGTATACGAAGTAGTATATTTAGGTAGTGTTAGATTTTTACGACATTTTATAAATAGATAAGATATATAATATAATTAATTGAATTTCGTTGAAATATTTTAGGTAATAAAATAGAAGTCCATTTAACTTACGATTCCTTAGGAGATAACCTTGATGGGAGATAACCTATAGGGACTGAGGATACGCACAGACGCACATCTCCGTCTCACAGCGAAATAGTTGAGAGATTACAGTTTTTCTTCATCTCACAACGAAATAGTTGAGGGATTATAGTTTTCTCCTTAATTTTCTCCCTAAAATCATCCATCTAATTGGTCATGTGAAAGGATAGGAAGAGAGGAGAAATGATCTAGTTCCTCCTTGTAGATTAATAGTGATCTTGGATTAAAGACGGTGCCTTGCAGGTCAAACAGAAATATCTGAACATATGACATGAAAAGATACGCATCGTTAAACTAGATCTAATTATTTGATTTTAATCTTGACATAAAGGTTATTTTCGTATTTTAATATAACATATTACATATTCTTATGCTTTCATGAGAACTAAGTAAATAAGAATAAGGATAGATAAGAATAAGGATAGATATAAGTATAATATGATAGATAAGAATAAGGATAGATAAAAGTATAATAGGATAGATAAGAGTAAGTCAATATATATGTATAATAGGACAGATAAGATGATAGTAATGTCGCGTACAAAGTCACTTTACTTTGTCTTTATGGTGGTGATTGTACGAGTAGTACATCTTGTATTATATCCAGTCTCATTTTACTGTTTGAATGTATACCTCTGTTATCACTTTCTGTTAGTGATACTAAATCTAGCACAACATATAATATAGAGCCAGTATTAGAAAGAATATTATTAAGAAAAATAAATCATAATAAGATTATCATGATTATCTTAAAATTTTGATAATATATTATAATAATTTTAAATTATAAAAATTATGATAACATATTATTATGATTCTATTAATGATGAGGATCATTATGTTGATGTGATCTCTTATATTATAAAATAATTTAGATAAATATTTTTATATTTATTATTGATTAAAAAAATATATAATTATCATATTTTGTAATCTTTATTTATGTATATAAATTCATACATACTATCAATAAACATTCAAGCTAATCATTTCTTTCATTGTATCGTAACAATAGTTGCTTCAACATATTTTTTTTCTTTGATCCTCTATTTTGCTATTGTTGTTTTGTACCTCATCCTTCCTTCATGGAGCATGGTTGAATGATACTAGACACAAAGGGCTTGTTTGCGACCATAAAAAGTCTTGTGCAACTTACATACATGTTGAAAAAGATTATGATCAAGGAGGTTACATCATAAATATATCTTTGAAAATATGATTATAAAGAAATACATTATTCACTTTCAATCGTAATTATGTTTTTACTAATTTATTTGGATGATGTAATTATTATTAGTAATAAATCAGTAATAATTATTATTTTTATTAAAGATCTTGGATCTCTTAATTATTTTCTTGGTGTTCAAGTCATCCACATGACAAATGGTTTATTACTTTTATAATAAAATTATATTTATGATAAATACTATTGCTACGTCAATCTCTACAAGTGTTCCCCTTATCTTATATGATAGTGCTAATCTCAATAACACCACTGAGTATTGTCAAGTTATTGGAAGTCTATAGTATTTTACAAATAAGTCTACTTCCAACCATTGGATAATTGTTTAATGCTTTCTCCGATACTTAAAATGGTACTATTGATCATGGCTTATTTCTTCAAATGGACTCTCCTCTATTGCTTCATGCATTTTTGGATATCAAATGGGTAGATAATAAATATGATAGGACTTCTATTAGTGCTTGTATCATATTTTGTAATCACAATCCAATCTCTTGAAGTTATAAGTAATAATACTATGTTGCAAGAGCTTCTATATAGGTTGAATATCGAACGGTTACTTCTATAAATATATATTGTGATAATATCACGAAAATATATCTATATACTAATCTTGTATTTTACTTTCAAATAAATTATATAGCTATCGATTTTTACTTTATTCATGACAATGTTCAAAATGGTGACTCTCATCTTCTTATTAACTTGTAGATATTTTTATCAATTTTTTTTGTTTTATAAACAATTCCTTCTACTTCGATTCGATTCAAGCTTGATTTGTAAGAGCACCATAAAAATTATGATAATATATTATTATGGTATTATCAATATCAATAATGATAATTATGAAATAATTTTAATAAATATTTTTAATTAATTAATTAAAAAATATATTATTATTTTTATATTTTTAATTTAAAAATATATAATTATTATATTTTATAATCTCTATTGCTTCATAATAATTTAGACGAATATTTTATATTATTATTGATTAAAAAATTAAATACATATTATATTTTATAATTTCTCTTGCGCATATAAATTTATATATACTTACTATCAATAAAAATTTAACCTAGTAAACCTAATCATTACTTCCTGAAATGAGTCATGACTTCCTTTCAGTGAGTGCATGCATCATCAAAGGCTTTCCCTGATATTATATAGAGTGAGGTTATAAAGTTCATTGTGGAATAATATATCAAGAGTATGATATTAGAATTTATGACGATACATAAAACAGCAACACAAAATACAGCGTACGAAAAACAACGAAATAATCATTAAAGGGCATAAAAGATCTGATGGTAAGATCTTAATCGGATAGATGACTCTCAAAGCAGGGAGATCAAATTTTGGCGACGTAAAATAAACCCAAAAGGAAGTACTATAATTCCTTTCATGACAGCGCGGCTTAAATCCATATACACAACGCTAGAAAAAACGGGAAATTATTAGAGGTAGTGAAGACCGGACGCAGAAAAATAGAACGAGTCTTCGTGATCAGAGTCGACGGATGGGATCGGTCGAGTGGGCATCCGATCGACAACACGGGGTGCCTCAGTTGTCGGCAGAGAGGGGACGTCGGGGGAGGTCGGAGGCGAGGCGGGAGGCGATGGCGGAGTGGTACATCACGTCGTGGAAGGCCTCCGTCTCCATGCTCCGCATCCGCAGCTCCCTTGCCTTCTCCTCCGTGAACGCCGCGAACCTTCGCCCCGCCGGCCGCCTCCTCTCCTCTTCCCCCGCCGACGCCGACGCCCCTTTCTTGGGGGAATCCTCCGCGGGTCCTGCTCCCGCTCCGGCGCCGTCGATGTAGTCCGGCTCCGCCGACCAGCCGAAAAGCGGGACCCACCAGTTGTTGCCCCCCCCACCGCCGGCAGCCGACTTCGCCGGGCCCTTCCGCCTCCCGCGGCCGTCGGCCGCGCTCGCCCGGATCACGGCCGGCCGGATCGAGGTGAGGACTAAACCGGAAGCCATTTCTCTCAGCTCTCTCGTCGTCGTCTTCTGTTCGAGGTTTTCCGTGAACGGAGAGGACAAGCGAAAGGGGTGCGTGCGCTTTAAGGGAGCAAAGGAAACGAGTGGATAAGGGCGGGCGGGGAAGGGGATGCCGCGGAATACACGTGGCGTCGATCGGACCATTTCAACCTTTTTCCCCCTCTCTTTTTGTCCGTCCGCTGGTTTTGCTCTTTTTCTTTTGTCTTTATTAGGCCTTTTTCTTCGCTCCATTCCGGTGGGTCATCGAAAAGACACTTATACCCACGCTGCTGGGCATCAGCAACGTGAGCATGTTTTCCCACCACTTTCTCACCGGAGACACGGTGACCCCACCGAGCGTCCCCTATCACCGATGTCATCGTATCACGGGGCACCGGCAGCGGTGAATGGCATCTGGCTCGATTAAAGAACACAGCTTGCTTACATCAGAAGCTTCATGGCCGTTCATGGTAATTTGAGAAGCTACGGCACCGCAACAGGTTCCGTGTTGGAACGCTTTTAACCCTTTTCTTCTTCCACGGAAAGCGATGGTAGCGGCCGATATTTTGGTGGCCCGTGCTTGTCGACAGGACGCTTCCTCCATTGCCAATCGAGCGTTTGTATCCGGGCGTTTTCCTTCTGTTCGACGCAAGTTTTGCGCGGGCGCTTCTATTTGTTTTATCCGATGGTGTGATGTGCTCTCGCCCGGACATGCATCTTCCTTCCTCGGTTGCGTGCCGGAGGCGCAAGGCCGGCGGCGATCCTGCGTTTGATTCGGATTTTGGTTCGGTTCTGGAACCGGGAACGAGATCAGACCGGGCCGGATTCGGACTATTTTACACGCGCATATCTTGAACCCACACCCGATCCGATAAGGTTAACGGATCTTGAATCCTGTTAATTGTCGTTGGATTTTAAGAGAATCTAATTGAGATATGGAGATTTCATAAAATCTTTTAACGAAGTTATGAGGTGGATAAATGGGGTAAATCCAATTCATAATTCTAGAAAACTTCTATTTGAACTCAAAACAATAAAATTGATTAGAAAAGATTCACTGTGCATACTTATATTTCTAAACCCATCCTGCCTGAGAATACAGACTCAAAAGATCATACGGAAAATTTAGGCCATAGACAGCCTAATAATAGATAGTCTTAAAAGTGCCAAGAAAATAGTGATATTGAGCACTATACAACCACACCAAGATATTCAGTATTTTACAGAAAGTATGGTGTGTCCTCACACTAAACTTACAAAACTATTTGAGTAAATTGAACCTTAGGAAGGTCAGTTAACCTTTAACCAGGTTAAGGAAATCACCAAACATGTAATGTTTTTTTCTTTCTCTGGGTCAGCAGCTCAACAAAGAGATTCGGCTGTGTTGCAGCCCTTGCCATATGCTCTATATGAATATGCTGTGCCAGAGATTACAAGATCCAACAAATTCAGGTTTTGCTGAGCATGATCACCTTCAAGCCTTTTGTCATCAGTAGCTTATTCTGACTGTCATTTCAGTATATAATGCAACAACCGCGAAGCAATCGACAACTTTGATGAGTAATCCCCCTTGGCTCTACACTGTCCCGTTAGGCAGGATTACCTCACTAAGGTTGGAGGTATTGGTGTTTGCTTTCACTTCCCATCAGGGAAGAGGGGCTATGCAAGCATCTCACAGAAACAATGTAAATTATGTTGACAGAAAGATTATCCAGATAATTTCCAGAAACCCATAGTATTTTCTAACAGTGCCACATAATTGATGGCTGACATTTTAACAAGGTATAGAGGATGCATCAAGAGATCTTGACATTCATTAAAATAGTGGATAATACAATGAAATGACACTAATCAATATAAGATTCATATATAAGGCAATGATACTGCAAAAGAAAATGATTATGACAAGAATCGAGGCCCAATGTCTGCATTAACAGCAAAAATATGAAATATAGTGCTACTTGACCCTCCTAGTCTACTTACAGTTGAGTGCATGGTTTATCTTTAAATCTAGCAATCAAATTCATTGTCCACATGAAAAATGCACCTTCCAACACCAAAACAATTAAAACAAATCATGACGAATGTTTCACCTGTGCAGATTCTAATTCTGCATGTGATATCACTTTCTAACCAGCGATTATGCTCAAAGTGCTGACACCTTCGGAACCGCAACTGGGAAGTTGTTAATTTCATCCATCCATGGGTTCTTCTCATTTGCGGGATTGATGGATTTCAGAGACTTCCAGACAGCACTGTTGCACTTGAACCCCGACCCGAATGCTATTTGCCAAATTCTGTCCTTCTTCTTAATCCTTCCTTTGCCTTCTGAATATGCCAATTCATACCAGAGAGAGCTGCTCGAAGTGTTTCCAAACCTATAGAGTGTCATCCTCGACGGCTCCATATGCCAATCGGAGAGTTGCAGGTTCTTCTCTATTTCATCCAACACTGCCCTTCCTCCGGCATGAATGCAGAAATGCTCAAAGGCCAACTTGAAGTCGGGAATGTAAGGCCTGATCTTCATTTTGAAGACTTTCTTCGCTACCAATGTAGCCAAAAAGATGAGTTGTTCGGACATGGGCAACACCAGTGGGCCAAGCGTAGTAATGTTGGTCTTCAGGGCATCGCCGGCGACTGCCATGAGGTCTTTAGAAAGAGAGACACCGATCTTGCCGTTCTCATCCTCTTCTTGGGTGACACAGCTGAAGCACTTATCATCAGCACCTTTATGAGTGCGAACAGTGTGCACGAGCTGGTACTTTGAGCGCCTGCGATCAGATCTCTTGTTGGATAGAAGGATTGCAGCACCACCCATACGGAACAAGCAGTTGGAGACAAGCATGGAGCGGTTGTTGCCAAAGTACCAGTTCAAGGTGATGTTCTCCATGCTGACGACCAAGGCATAGGAATTGGGATAGACCTGAAGAAGATCCTTGGCAAGATCAATCGAGAGAAGACCTGCACTGCACCCCATTCCACCCAGATTATAGCTGACAATGTTTCCTCGAAGCTTGTAATGGTTAACAACCATGGCAGAGAGAGAAGGCGTCGGGTTGAACAAGCTACAATTCACAATCAAGATACCGATGTCCTTGGGTTTCACATTAGTCTTTGTCAAAAGCTCATCGATGGCTCCAAACATAACAGTTCTGGCTTCCTTCCTGGCCTCAGCCATGCAGGGATTCGGAGGAACATTGAGGACTGCCTCGGGGAGGTAGGTGGATTCACCAAGACCAGACCTTTCAAGGATCTTACGCTGGAATGCGAGGTTCTCTTCCGTGAACGACCCCGTTAATGTAGACCGGTCCATGAAGATTTGCCTAGTACATTTCCGGGGATCCTCGGGCTTATAGCATGCGAAGTTGACCAGATAAACTGGCCTGCGGCGCGTGAGGAAGTAGACGGTGGAGAGGAAGACAAGAAGCGTGGAGCAGAGTACCGCAGAGATGAGGTTGAAACGGAGATGGTCCCAGAGGTCATGGAGGTCCTTGATGGAGAAGGTGGAAAGCTGCGCCACGAGGACGGCAATGAGGGGCGAGAAGAACAGATACATCCCATGGGTGATGACGTAGTGATAACCAAGCTTGACATATTTGAGCTTGACGGATTGCTTGAAATCAGGGAGCCGGGAGGATGATGATTGCAACAGAGCGGCATTCGCTCTTTGTTCACTCTCGGCCATTTTCGAGATCGAAACAAGAGCAATCTGCTACAAAGGAAAAATGAAGTTGGGGGAGAAAGGTGGGATTTTTCGGCCTGAGATCAATAGGAAGAAGAGGATCAAGAGATTGGCGAAAGAAAGCAGAAAGCGGACACCTGCAGAAAGCACAAGAGAACATTTCTTATTATCACACTAAGAAGAAGAAACAGGACGATTCCTTGTTCTTGCAGTCCAACACGAAATAAATGAAGGCAAAACAACAAACAACACCAAGGCATAATATTCCAAACATCATGTTTGTGTTGCTCTTCCTGCAAACAAAATCATCCAAAGAGTACCTATGAAAGAAGGAAAAAAAAGGGGAGATTTTGAACAAAAAGAATTCATGACATCAGGAAAAACCTGTGAGAAAGGTCGGATTTTGACCACAAATCGAAAAGGAGTACAAATAATGTTTTCTTTTGCTCTCATTGCAAAGACAATGAAATCTTAAGAAAAAAAAAAGAATTCGAACAACAAAAATGATGCCACCAGGAAACAATCGCGGAAAAATCGGATTATGACCGCAAAATCAAATGGAGCATGACTCGGGAAAAAGAATCCACAAGATAAATCTGATCGCATCCACTAAAGGATGTACATGATTCCCAATGTAGCAGCCCAAGATCAAACAAAACCCAACCGTAAAGTGTCTCTATCGCGAAGAGATTTAACAGAGAAAGGAGATGGATATTGGAAAACGGACCTCTAATGCAGTCTCCGCCGGCGAATGGGGCGAGAAGAGGCCGATCCGATCTCCGCTCCGACCGCTGGTCCGGGGAGAAGGAAGGAGGAAAGGCCACAGTGTGTGGAACGCGGGGCGGAGAAGGCGGAGGAAGAAGGGGCTATAAAAGACGCTTTGCCGTTCTTCTCGATGGCATCGATGGGCGTCAGCGTGTGCGTCGACGGAGGAAGCTTCGCAGCGCAAACGTGTTGTGGTGGCCTTCCATTCGGCGTCGCAAAAAATCGCCGACCCGAAACTACGCGGCACGTGTGTGCGCATCGCCATTGCGCTCGCTCGAGATTCAACGCCCCGCAACGATTACCGTTGTATTATTGGACGTGCCTGTGGGGCCACTTCCTTCTCCAGTCACAACACGGGTTGGTAAGCAAAACCGCGTCGTCGGGGGTACGATATGTTGGATTTTCCAGAGCCGCCGCTCCACCTCATTTTGACCGAGCAAGTCAAGTAGTTATGCGTTGACCAATCCGAGACAGGATACAGGCTTCGTCGCCCTCACAACGTCGGTGGGGCCCGAGATTTCGAGACACATGAAATCATCTAAAAAGAATATGTTCTCATTAATCCAATAATTCGACGCAATCGCTTATGAGAAGGGGAATACATACATAAGACTCTCAAATCAAAGGAGTAAATGTCTTCCTCTTCCAAATTAGGAACACTCAACGAACTGTTCCCCGAATGAGATGGTGAATTAAATTGAAATCAATGTCATGGGGACCAAAACAAATCATTCGAATCAGTGGAGCCGAGAACGAGGAGTCAACGTGGTAATCCTTCTTAGAGTATGAGTGATGTGAGTAGTTCCAAGTCGTTGCAAGAGAAATAAGACGGCTATTCCAACATCTTTCTTGCGAAGGAAGAAAAGAAAAAGGACAAGATGATCGAAGTGATGGCTTCTTTTGGCATCACAAGACACTTGGATGCGTGGAATGGCTGCTTCTAGATGATGTGCTCAAGGAGTTGGTTGATTAAGGACGGATGCAATTGACTATTCCCAAGTGGACTCCATTTGCAATTCAACACGTAGTTGATCACCTACGTGTGATTCATATTGCACTACATCCCTACACGCTACCATATTACAGATCACGCTTTCAGTATATTGACTTGTTTTCCTTAAATTAAGAGGTCGAAAGCTCATTCCATGATTCCTAGAAGATAATAAATAATTAGTATATAAACACTTGTCCTTAAAAAACACTTTATATACCTTTCATTAATATATTAAAAATTATTTATGGGACGATGATTGGGTATGATTTTGTGCCCGTTTTGATTGTCTTTTAGATGAAGATCAGTATCAAATCAACAGATGGCATGAGAAAAAAAAAAAATCTCAAGGTCATGGAAGCCACTAAAGAATATGAGTAATTAAATGTGTAAGACAAGTTGTGCTCATCTCAACATTGACTTGAGCCCTGTCAAACTGAATATATTGAATCAAGATATTCTTCATTGAAAATGAACGAAATTTAGGGGATTTTGCTTTATTTCTTTTTTCTGACTATATACAAGTATTAAATTAAATAAAATAAATTAAGGTATTCTTTAATGGAATTTAAAATTATTCATATCCTATCATATTGGGGAACCTTTGTGTCGTGATCGAGGTGTCAGCATGGCTTGGTTCGATCCCGGATATACAAGATCGTCCACTTGAACGCTTGTATACTTGAATTAGACGTCGAGTCGGGTTGGGTTCAAGCCTCGACTCGCGTGGGCGGTCTTCTCCTCTTGGCAAGTTGCTTGCTTCTTCGTCGTCAAGTTACTACACATAGGCCAAAGTTGGGAATGAGACTTTCCAACTTGACCCCTTCAAAGCTTAAGTTAGTGTTGAGTGGAGTTGGGGGAGAGTTGAATGCTCGATGTCCCTCCCCTTGACGTTGGTCAAAAGATTGACTTTTATACCTATGAACGAGGGTCGGTCATACATGGTCCGTTAATGATTGTCGACTCCTCAGACGATTGACTTGTACCTTGCATGTGAGCGTCAACTGACCTGTATGGACCCACATCATGTGGCATCGTTCCGAACTTTCCGAAATGACTACAATATATGACGTCAACTTGTATAACGTCGTACAATACGAGAGTAATTGGTCATCTCGTTCTGAGTTTAAGGTATCACGTCATATCAGGAGCTCTTTTTGTTGGCACTGTAGTAATCGTCAACTGTTACCAGGTGGATGGTGTTAAAATATGTCATATCATATCCATTGTTGCTTCTATCCTCGTTTCCACCTAAAATAAAGTTGATGTGCTTAGCGACCACTTCCTACCTCCTACCAACTTCTTTCCAGACTTGCAGATAACTTTACAAAGAAGATAAAACTTGTGACCAACTGATTCACCTAATTAAATAATATCATTGATAATAAGTAGATGCATAATTAGAGGAGGTTATCAGAGTCGATGCACAAATATGTGCGTAGTTATGGATCGGATCGATCAATCTGATTGAAAGAAATGAAAATTTTATCCTCCACTATGTTTGTCTTTTTAAGAGAAAAAGGCCTTTATTTCAAAACAAAAATGTAAGAAATTAGGTACACTTTTTTTTTTTGGTTTAAAACACTTTTGTCTATGTGTAATACAAATTAAATAATAAATTAACTTTGACTTGAGCATATTTTTTTCTTGACTTTGACATCCATAGCACATCATCAAAACTAATTTATAATGCTTCTTAATTTATAAATAAATCTTTAAAATTTATTTATTTTTTAATTTTAAAATAATTCTAATATAGTGAATATTATAATATTTAAAACAGTTAAATTTAATTCTAACTCATTAAGTCTAATATGATTAAGAGATAAGCTCGGATACTCATTCAAGAATTAAAGTGGACTCGAGTACATACTCTACCGTCGACTTGTACGAAGATCAAAATCGAATAAATTTTTCTAACATGATCTCTTTAAAGTTAAGTCAATAATCATCAAGGATAAAATAATTTTAGTAAATAATATTTAACATTAATTATCATGCCTAAGATAGTATTTTATAACAAGTTAATTGAGAAAAATATTCCGTAATACCGGTGGAATGTTGTGAGTTCTATCATTTTTGAAGGATTTCTCGTATGGCTCTTTATAATAAAAAATAATTCAAGCCAAATATTTTAAACTAATTAAATTATTTGAGATTTAAATATGGAAAAACTAATCTTCAATGAAGAATAAACATTGGTTTTTTTTGTTCCTTCACGTTGGCACTTCATATATACGTGCTCAACTCCTATCACTGGTCAAGAAATCAGTGCCCCGATCATGGGAGACCACTCGAAGCTTGTTGGATTCATTTGGATAATTGATTTATTTGTTGGAGACCAAATAATGATAAGGATTCGCCACCAAACCCAAGTGAGCTCCAAGTCTACTTTTGGACTACTATGCGCCACCACAAAAGTATATCTCTAAGATTTTTATAGAAATTAACTTTACACGTTTAAATCGTGTAAGAATGTTACTTTGCCGTCGGTGTGGATAGAAAAATAAGTGCACTAATCGATCGTGAGACATATTCGAATACCTTATGTCGTGGGAAATGATCTTTGAGTCGTGGCCTCTGGGCCGACGCGACTCGATTCGGGTCCGGAGGACGGGGGATCTTCCCGAGACGGCCTTTGAGTCCGCCGAGGTGGTCGGGTGCGGTGGTCCGATTGGGACGGGGTCGTCGGTTCCTCCGGGCAAAGGCTCCTCGTTTGCGCGTCCCGCGGGGACCTTCGACTTCGCACCTGCATAAAAGTCGGGTCGGGAAGCTCGACCCGACCCTCCGATGATCAAGTTAGAAGATAGTGGACGGGGTTTCAGATGAAGAAGTCCTTTTGTGTCTCCTCCCTTCCCCCTTCCCGTTCAGAATGCGAGGGTATTTATAGGGAAGCTTACTGTTTCTTGATGTGCCCGCTTGCAGGGGACAGGCTGGTAACGTCTAACATTGGTGTTGGCGTGGCGTGAAGAACCGAGCCTGAGCAGGAGTTAATGCACCTCGACCGACGTTTTGGTCCGTTTGACCAGGTGTTGTCTTATCATAATTACTATCCTCATCACCTTATAATTATTAGCTAATAAATCAAGGACAAGTAAAATGAAAATATCTTATTACCATCAAATTACTCAAATCAAATTAAAATATTATTAATCAAAATTTACATAAATCTTGATATAATCGATATGTTCAACCATCGAAACTTCGACATGCGGAGTCTAGTCAATCAAAAAATAATAATACATCAATTTAGATAATATTTCTTAATCTTTCATTACGAATAAGAACCTTTAAAAAATAATTCTAAATTTAAAATACTTAAGAATTTTTACCTCCCACCTCTTAATGATAGATCTTCTTTTGATAAATAAGTCAAGTATATATATATATATATATATATATATATATATATATATATATATATATATATATATCAATTTGGACAGTGGTAAATTCAAAAATATAAATTATATAGGTATCTTATGATGGATGACAACCAGCTAAGCACCATGTGCCAAAGATTCCTTTCTTTCAAGCAACATTTCCTCCAACCCCCACAAATCTTAATCCAGATTTTACCAACCGATTTAACTCATTAGAATATAATCCTTAAAGAAAAGAGAGAGAGAGAGAGAGAGAGAGAGAGAGGAGTTAAAAGCTTGGAAATATATAGAGAAAATGAGAGAGCAGTGGGATCTAAGAAATGACATTTCACAATCCAAATAATGGAATTGAATCCACCGTTGAATTTTCATGGAGGCTGATTTGACTAAGACAACCAAATTGGAGTGGCTTTAGTGTTTTGGTCAAACGATTCCGCAAGCACTAACCACATCAATTATCAACTTAATATCAAGTGAAGAATAACTATTCGTAAAACAAATAGACCGAACCCAACCACAGATACAATAATTGTGTACTCTTATCGTTATTGGCGTTCACCTGTCGGCGGCGGTCACCGGAGTCCTTCGTCTCAATTCACCGCCGCGCCTGCGTACCGCTCGACGCGCTCGTCGATCCATGCCCTCATGTCCGCCAGGACCCGGCTGCTGTTCTCCTCCGGCTCCCCCTGGATCAGCGAGTGGTACATCCCCTCGTACATGATCAGCTTCTTGTCCGCGCTCGATGCCATCTCGTAGAACGTCTTCGACCCC